GAACTGGGAAAAAAATCAAGACACAAAAAAGTGCTTTCTGAGTCTCTGCACTGGAGGCAAGATTCACAAGATCCACAAGATGTTCAAATGCCAAGACAAAGAAGAAAGACCAAACCTTCCAGGAGCTCACACTGAACTGAATGTGAATTTCTAGATGCAATTTTATTTAATTAATTTTGCTTTTAAAATTACTCCAGCTTACATAGAAAGGGACTATGTACAGGTGTCTGTGATTTGAAAGGTTACCAATGTACTTCCTGAAGAGAAAAAATAATTATGAGGTTGATTTAAAAAGAACAAAGCTAAATCATAGTGCAGAATAAATTTCTTGCTTCTTGTCAAGATCTCCCCTATACCAAATAGAAACATAATCAAGTTATTTTCAGGAAAACAAATACAGCTAATCATACCTATATACTCTTAATAACTATGTAACATGGAAAGAAATTATTCCATCTATATGATGATTCAAATACACTTCTTGAACTCCAAAACTCCCAAAGTTTTAAGTGTTTAGAGACATAATCAAGCTTTAATCAAACAATTGCGGAATTGTAACTAAAAATAATTACTGCCTTGAACCCCAAATACTCCTATTATTACCCTAGTACTTCGAAGTTTTTTATATATATATATATATTAATGATAATTGAATCTCAGGTTTATGGTCTGGTACCTCACTGTCCCCTTAGAGGAGTTATTACCATGGTGATAAGATTGCTTAAATTAAGCTGTCGTTTTCCACAGGACTTGGCTCATTGCCAGTGCAGTGAAGGGAGATTTCAGTCCATTCAGCACAGCATTAACCTTACTGCCAACACTGCTAAATGGGCTAGAGGAACTAGGAAGAAATTTGATTTATAAAAGGAAGGAACAAGTAAATATCTTAAATACTGATGAACAAAACAGGATTAAAAACTCCACTGTGAAACAAAAGCAAAATTAGCTAAATTTTGAGATCTAGACAGAAAACTTAAAAATTGTAATGCTTTGGTAATCTATGTCAAAACTTAACTCAAAATAAATGTGACCAATGGTTTAGCCATGAGGGATCTGTAACAGACTATAAGGAGGATAAGAAAAATTTCAGGTAAAATCCTACTTAACATCTAGATTTTACTTCTTTGGGGATTTGACTAAAGTGGGAAAATAAACAGCAAACAGCAGGAAAAATACCAAACTAAGAAAACAAGATATGGAAAAAAATACTGAGTTAACTAGAAGGGCATGGAGAAAATGAGTAACATTCCTTGGAGTTATCAGGGTTTAATACTCACTCCGTAAAATGTAATAAGCTATGTTCAGATGGGGCTGTCAGAGATAATGACAATGTATTACACTGTAAATCACAAATTTGAAGCATTAGAGCAAAGTATCTATGAACCCTGAAAAAACAATTATTTTAGTGGAAAGGAAGGGAATAGGCAATAGGTTGCAAGTACTTTATTCTGGGGGAGAGGGGAAAAAAATCAATTTTTGTAAGAGCCCAATAACATGATTGTAAAAAAGAGAATCAACATTTTCCATGTCTTTATGTGGTGTGAGAGATCCTTGCAGTCTTTTTCTGGCAATGCTTAAAAATTGTTTCTCTGTATGGCAATGAAATTACTACATGTTCATAAGCAATTTTAATAATGGATATGTTTATTTTTCCCTGTGTGTGTGCATGCATAGATGGAGACTGCATTTGCATCTCTGAGCACATTACAGTGCTGAAGGCTGCAGCACAATCAGTCACCAGTTTGAGCTGCTACACCTACAATTGCACCTCTTCTTCAGTTCCCTCAGCAGCTGATGTTTGATAACGTCCTCTGGAGTTTTAAAGCTGTTCATAATTTTTGTTTTTATTTAGGCTGCTTATAATTAGAACAACTGTCAGAGTTAGAGAATTGGCCTTGGCAATGACACACAGACAGACTCTAATTTCAGCTTTGACAAAAGCTGGTGTGAACCTGAACAAGTAATTTCATCTTTCCAAGTCAGTCTCATCATTGGAAAGTTGCATTTGTAAGCTAGGTCTTGACAGAACAGCTTTGCAGATTAGTGCATGTAACGCCTCTAGATGAAGCACCAAACAAAATTTCTGATTTGCCCTTTTCTATAAAAATGCAACCAGGTTTTACTGTACAAGAAAATTTTCAAACACACACACCACAGTGTATGTCTTTACTGTAGCCCTTTGCCATCTGATCTAGGGTTTCAAATTCTAATTATGTACGAGTACATGTTTAATCTGAGTACTGCAAACATTTTCAGAACTAGAGAATTTTCTTTTACATAAATACGACACATTATCATTAAGAACAGACTCATAAACTTGCTTAATTTCTGTCTGTCCAGAGTGAACAGGTTTTACAGTCACATGATTAGTTCTATGAAATCCTTCCCTGTCTAAAAATTCTCTAATATTCCATGGCAGTAAATAAAACATCAAACACATGTTCCATTTACGGATTAAGAGGAGATAGAGTTGGAGGAAAAACTGAACATGTGTATTCTGATTTTTGCCTAGTTGTTACAGTAGGGAATACATTACTGTCTGAGTCTTCTTTTTGATTGCAAATGTTCAAAATTTAATAAAAAAAAATCTGCTTATATGTATTAGATATGTAGATATTAGGTAGATTTGGTACTATTAAAGATTTGGCACGGAAACATAACATTGAAATGTTTCTCTTTATTCTGTAGGATTATTTTTAATGGACAACTAAACATTAATGGAGAAGGAAAGCAAGGGAATCCATATACTAGGCCAATGTGCCAGCTCAATAATAGAAGAATTGTTCCCTGGAAAAGGAAGGAAAAACAAGCTGCAAGCCCTTCATTTTCTCTAAGGCTGTGCTGCGCACTGCAGACTTCTGGGAAGTGGTGATGACAAATATTTTTTAGTACAGTGTTCCTCTGCTATAGCACTTGTCTGCTCACCAACTGCAGATACAGCCTGGCAAGCAGACTCACAGATTTTCCTTATGGATTATCCAGTCTTTCAGCCAGCTTCATGAAAGGCTCCTGCGAGTGACCAGTGGGGGCATGAAATCAGCTGAAACAACCACTGAAGGGTCAGAATGCGGAAAATTTCCAGCCTCTGTGAATGACTACCCAAAGGATGTTTTCCAGTCTGAATTCCTAATTCACTGCACAGCTCCTTATATAACTACAGATATAGCTATATATCTCTGTATTTGTCTTTATTAGAAAATAAATTCTATAGAATTAGAAAATAAAATAAAATAAATAAAATAAAAATAAAATAAAATTAGAAAATAAATTTCTATAGAAAATAAATAAAAAATAATATGAAATATTATTGTATTTATCTGTATTAGAAGCTTCAAATTTGCAAAAAATAATAAGAAACAAAAAAATTTAAACTGAACTCAAAAGAAAAATAAATTGCAAAGTATTTCCCCCAATGAAGTCTGATGGAAATGCAGTGAACATGAATGCAGAGAGCCTGAAGAAGATCTACCTGACTGTTAATTGAAGAGAACCAAAAGTTCACGGGACAGAACACCCAGAGATCACCTTTCTTGAAGCAGAAAGTATAGGCAGATATATAAGCTTGTTACACCAGAAACAGCAGAGGTTTATCTTATTCTTATTCTTATTCTTATTCTAGCTCTAGAAGGATCAGCTGAACTAAAATGTTGTTTATGTTCACTTCTGCAGAAAACTTTCCATCCTCCTCGATTCTTTTTGAGATTTGTCCATAATGTAAATAAGGAAAGTTTTATTTCAGAATGAATTGGCATGTTCTTCAATCCTAACTTAACAGCAGAACTAAAACTTGACACTTCTGATGAGCAGCATCAGTTTAAAGATATATATTAAGATTATTTTTTGTAATAAAATAAAACCAACCTTGTTAAAAAAGAACAAAATCTAGGTTTCAGTGATTAATTGTGATGACTAGGCCTTGGACATATGCATTAAAAAAAACCCCAAACTGTTTTCTGTGCATATACATTTCTGTGTGTAATACCTTATATTTTCTGGATCCAATTGGTGGATGTCAGAAATTTATCTGTTTCACCAAACATGATGTTCACAAACTCTTGCACTTCACATGCTTAAAAATGGCAAAACCTAAAGTAAACCCTAGTTAAAACCTCCCAGTGCTCTGTTGACAATGAAGGAGAAAAAGACTGAAAACCACGATCTTGTTTTAAAAATCAAGTCAGCAAACACAGCTAGTTGAAAGCCATCAAATTAGCTAATACTTATCCGGAAGAAGTGGAAAAAGAAAAAAAACAAAAAAAAGCTTATTTTAGCCAAAAAATCAGAGGAGATTGTGCAGAGCTTTGGGTACTGAAAAGTAAGTTGCCTGAATACAGAATGCGTTTGCTCTCAATTGTTTTTTGGAGTAGCTCCCTCCCCCAGCTCCCAGAGGTAAGTCTTGCCATATAATTTCTCCATTGCCAAATGATTATCAAATTATATTATTTGGCTATATATGCAATAAAGTATTTAAATACATACTGAGAAACATACTATTTTAGTATTATTTCTGGTCTTTTCTTATCCACAGGAAAGCTACAGCCTGACTAGATGATCTCCAAAGGTCCCTTCAAACCCCAATCATTCCTGACTCTGTGTGACTCCAGAAGTGCCAAAGTATACTCATTAAACCAAACTTCTATTTGCTGGTTACAAAATGGTCCTGGGAGAATATGGGAGGGTAAGACAAACACACAAGCAACTAATCCTGACTGCACATAACCATAAAATGCCATGGTAACCTACACACATTAAAAGAATCACTACCTTCCAAAACTTTGCATAACATGCTTTTTTTTGAGTATTATTGACCTAGACGAATCAAACAAATAAGGACTCACGTGGCTACTTGAGATGGCCTCAAAGCAAAATACATTGGCATGTCCTAAATGGCAGACTTGTAATTACCCATGACCAGCTTGTGTCAATGTCAGGCCTCCTCCCCATTGTGTGTCTTTTTCCCTCGACATCTGAGATCCTCTGCGCACACCCTTGGTCCATACCTGGTTTCCAGGGGTATGTTGCTGTTCAAGACCCAGCTGTTATGAAGATGCACCGAATCTTGTGTGCTGGTGGGGGGCATGGGAGCAGGGCTGGGCTGGCTGCGCGTGGTCATGGATCTCCTCTGCAAGGAGTCGGCTGAGGGAGGTGGCTTCCTGGCACAGGTGCAGGCGTGCGGTGGGGGAGGCGGCGGCGGCAGCGGTCTGAAGGTGAACTGGTTATGTGGGCTACCAGGCATATCTGAAACAACAAGGAAAAGACAACCAAACACACGGAGGATTATTATTTTAGAAAGATCAAGACTGTCTTTAGATGTTGTTTTGCAGTTAATAGTTCACTTATGTTCATCTTAATTAAAAAAAGGAAAGCGGAGACTAAAGTCTTAAACTGAAGTAGGACAGATTTACAGGAGATATTAGGAAGTAAATCTTTGTTGTAAGGGTGGTGAGGCAATGGACAGGTTGCCCAGAGAAGCTGTGGCTGACTCATGCCTGCAAGAGTTCAAGGCCAGGTTGGACAGGGCTTGGAGCAACCTGGTCTAGTGGAAGGTGTTCCTGCCCACAACATGGAGTTGAAACCGGTCCCTTCCAACTCAAACCATTCTGTGATCCTGTGATACAATTGTTATTTGGAATAAAGTATTGTGCTTCATAATGTTCTTTACTCTGTTTCCTGTAAATGTTGCTGCAATATTTGCAATAATTTAAAATACAACAGTCTATTGAAACAGGAACTATCAGATACAGACACACCCTACAGCACTGTAATTCAACAACAACCGCAAAACAAACAAATAAAGCAAAAACAACAAAAAAAAAGGTGGTAAAACATTCACTTCATTTGTCACGATTTTTCATGGATGAAAGTAAAGAACATATAAATTGACACTGAATGGCAGCACAAATACCAACTGATTTCACCAGGTATAATTCTCATTTAAAACATCCATGAAAGAAATAGTATAAAAATTAGTCTTGCACTTCAGTTTGAGAGAAAATGACTGAGTAAGTCCTATCCCCTAACAAACACCTTTCATAAAACAATGTTAATACATTTCTGGAGTCTGTTATTGCATTTGTTAAATAAGAGCTGAGAAAACGTCTCTGAAGCACTAATCATCAAGACACCCAGAGAAAAGGTTTTTATGGCAGCCAAAGGCAGATGAGCTGGCAGGGAGCTCACAGCCACTGAACCAGTCTGAGAAGGAGCTAGAGTCAATGATGCCTGTGGTGAGAACCCAAGACCCTTCTACCTGTGCTGCCACTGCCCTATGGGACCCTCAGGCTGCTCCTCAGGACCCCAAAGGGATGTTGTACCTGCACACGGTCCTTTCCTGTGCTAACAAATGCTGCCACGTGTCTCAAGGTGGCTCAGCCTGAGCAACTGAGCTTCAATCTTCCTGCAAAGGACAATGAAGACACAAACATGGTGCAGTGGTACTTTCAAGGAACAATAAAACCTTGCTTTCTCTACTTCCCCAAAGTCTCCGAAGAATCTCAGTACAGCCAGATACACAGCTGTGGGCAATAGCAAACATGTTGTAAAGACGATAGTGGTAAAAACTGCTGCCAGACTGAGGGATCTGGGAACTTGTTAACCACAAACTCCTCCAGCTACTTTACCTTAGTGTCTAACACAGCTGTATCCCATTTCTGTACTCACCCTCACTCTCCCTTTTTACCTTAGCAGATGTCCACTTAAATTTGCAGAAATCCAGCTGGAGCGAAGCTCTGATGAACCTGCAAAAATTCCCTGCAAGGAACTGTTGCCATCCATTTACAACACATACTTTCTTCACATTATGAGATGATGTGTCTTCAAGGTGAAAGACAGAATTGTATTCCCTCCTTTCATGGAATGGCTTGTAGAAATAAAGCACCTTTTTCTCTGTGACAGTCCCAATTTATCCCAGCTGGAGAAACAAGGTTGTTCAGTGCTCCACATAAGCTTTTCAATGCTGTGGTAAGCAAAGCTGTCACAGATTTGGCCCAGGCTTAATCCCTTTAATTTCATTGATCTTTTATCAAAGCAGCATTCTTACAGTTGCACTAAGGTTTATGCTGTAATATTTGTTTGCATACACCAGAAAAGCATTTCTAAGCATATTACAAAACTGGAGACCTCAGTAAATTAAATCACTGGAGTCAACAGTCCAGGGCTCCAAAATAATCTGCTAAGGCACTTTCATATAATAATTAATCCAGGTAAATCCTGTATCCCGCTATTTTAGAACTGAAAGCTACCCAAATATTGCACATAATATTTGATGTCCAGCATCCTTATGTGTTTGATCAATGTCATTTCCCTGTTTAAGGTATCAATCTTAAATCCAATCTGCAGAAAATTTGCAGGATTATTATACAACCTATAATTGGCATGACAAGCCATTTCAATGGTTGAGTCACTGTCCTGTTATAAAAATGCTGATTTTTAACAGGACACACAGACTCTACAATGTACATCAAGAGCAGTAAATGCCAAGGTGACTGCTTCTCTAGGTATTTGGGAAAAAACCTGTATAATCTGTTTCGTGCAGATTGTGGGTTGGAGACAGAAGCCGTGACTCAAGTCCTCTTGATCATCAGAAAAAACAGCCCTTATTATTGTTTGGAACTTACTTATATAGTCAATTCAAAACACCAGGCTGAGAGAGGTCATTGTCTGGGATCAATCTCCGCCCAGATCTCTGGCCAGTGGTGTGTTTGCAACTAAGCTCGAATGGGGTTGGCTGAGGGTCCCGTGTAACTTATCCAGGGACTTGTTCTGGCATGAGCTAGGCTAGCCGAATTGGATTTGTGTTATGGCCAAATTTACGTTGTCCAGTGCAGATCAGCTGTACTGTGACAATATTGTGACATGTTCTATATGGCAACACATCTTTTAGTTCCCTTCTTCCCCTTTTATCTATCCTGTCCCGTCAATAGCACACAATTGTCTGACAGAGGTTAGTTTGTTCCATGTAAGGGACTGGTTCTGCCTCTGGAACACAGTCTCTCTGGCTCGTAGGGTACCTTGTATCTCCCTGTGTAATTTATCACCATATATCAATATATCAGATTCCTGGGGGAATTCCTTTTTAATTATCACACTTGTCACCCTCTCATCTAGCTATTGGCATCACAGAAAACCTTACACTGGAGCCTGATTATTTTGGTGATTTAAAAGTCTTCCTCATCAGACCCTCGTTTCAGTGAAGCACTGCAAACTCATTAGGCTTAGATTCAGCCTGAGTTTCCAATTAGTTTTTACAGACTTTCTAATTTGGCAAAGTTGTTTCTATTTTGCTTGAAACTAAGTCTGTATCTCATTACTTTTATGACACAAAAAATATTGCTTGGGATATAAAGCAGCATTAAATCTAGTATGTACACTTAGGATTCTTCAGGACTCTAAATAAACAGCACACTATATAAAATAACTTGCTGAAAAATAATTTTAATACCTGAAAGGGGATATTATGCAAGATGTCTAAAGCCAACAAGCTTCCAAAATGCATGAGACTGATACAGGAATTGTCTTACCTAATGCTATCTATAATAACTGCTGTTTTTATTTTTAATGGCTGCTAATAATGTCCACAGTTTTTAATTCTTGTACATTAAAACATCTATACAATATGTAAATAGAGATTTGTTTGTTTTCATTGTCTTCATGGTGGGATAGAAATTTCCATTAATCTAAAAATGTAGCTATATAACAATATTTCAGCTCAAACTTTACACCTGGAATAATTTGCTTCAAATCAGATTTCCACCTGAGGAGTATCCAAGCCAGAAATTACTCTCTTGGTCTTCATCACTGCCCTTCTCATCTGCGTTTAGCTCATTTTTTTACAGACAAAAGAGACTGTTTAGAAAATTTCTAAATTCTTTCCCCTGAGGAGTAATTTTTTAAAAATAAATTTTATTAATTTTTCTTCTTTCAGCAGAGCACATCTAGAACTGTGAAGTTTCCTGAAAAGATCCAGACAACATTCAGGTGATTTCTTTGTACTTTCTTTTTACTTTTTCTTTTACTCCAACTTGCACATTCCCCATCCACTTCACAAACTACTCAAACTTGCTTCTAACCTGTTTTTTAAAATTTTTTAACACAATAAGTCTTAATTTGAGCTCTTCTGCTCTTGAGGCACTCTTTGAGGCACTTAGCAAACTTCATGCACTCACACCAAGAGAAACTGCAGTAGAGATGGCAGCTGGAAACAAGAAAATCTCGCCTTGAAATTCTGCTAGCTTGATGGAGTTCTGCTTTCTCTCTTTCCTTTGAAATTTGAAGGAAGCAGTTATTTTCCTCTTCTGAATGTTTCTTCTTCTTTGGTTCTGGCTTGTTCTTTTGGATGGTCCACAAATAACACTGAACACATGCTGTTCCATGGTAATTGTTGTAATGGAGCTTCGTATTCCACATTTACAGAGCACAGACCTCAACAGCTCCTCTTCAGCTCCTGAGTTCTGATACTACTGCTTTTCCTTTCAGGATATGAAATAATTCAGATCTTGCTTTTTAAATAGGCTTCTGCTTTTCAGACAGTGGAAAGTCAGTTAACTCAGGACATTCCCTGGCTCTGCCATGGTGGTTGAGTGCTTCTGTTTTGTTCAAAAGGAACTGGATGGACAGATCAGAATGATGGACAAGAGCAGCATTAATACAAACTCATTTTCCTTAAGAGTCAGGCTAAAATGCCTTTGTAATCATAAGCATGTAGCCAAATTGCTTTACAGACTGGGAAAAATGAAATAAACAGCTTAATCAACTAGGTAACACATAATTTAAAGTTAGTTTTGAAAATTAGCCAAGCCTTGGCAGAACTATTTTCCTAACAGTTCTGAAATATACTTTACTATACTGTTTGGATCCATATAAAAGACAGGGTAATTGAACTGTTTTATCATTTACTGACAAGGCTACAATAGCCTGTATTGTTATTAGGTGAAGTATATCAGAGAGAATATACTAAAACGTAATGAACCATAAAAGGTTTGCATCTAACCTGTAGTGCTTTTGAAGTATTTTAATTTTTTCAGTTCCTGAATTTATTATTTCTTGGTATGTCTGGATATATTTTTTTTTTTATTTTAAATTTACTTGATGTGTCTCAGTAGAGTGTGAATTAGCTAGCAATCCATTATTTAATGAATGAAATAGCAACGTATGTTCAGGGACTTTAATTCAGTTTATTTAAAAGTTCTGTGGGTATACTACTGCTCAGTTACAAACCACTCTGTGATTATTTTTAAAGC